CCCGCGTGCCGCAAAAAAAAAAAAAAAACCAAAAAAAAAAAAAAAAAAAAACAAGAAGCAGTGAAATGCTCTGGTAATTAAAATAACATAGTCAATGTTATCTATAAATAATGAGCGTGCAAGGATCTGCAGGATGATGAGTAAACATTTTGGCAGGGAGCAACTGCTACATATTGGAATGGAAAGCAATGTCTTTATCAGGCGTCTCTCTCCTCCTGCTTTCTCTCCCCCGTCACATCAATCTCATGGGAATTTCCCAGACAAAAGCCTTCTGCTTAGCTTGTAATGAATTAAACATCCATCTGATTTAATCTCTAGCAATTCTCTTGCTCTGCCCACAGGTAACTAACTGCCACGTGGCAGGAAGCTGACTGGACAGGAGTGCAGTGAACTGGTTTTATGCCTACACCTGACATGGAACACATTTCTGTCTTTGGACCTCCATTTCTACGTTTGTAAAAGTGAGAGGCTGAACTGAACTTGATAATGCTTACAGTTTCTTTTCAGCCCCACAGTTGATAACTACTGCATTTGGACATGCAGAACATGGGTTAGCTCTACCTCAGCTTTCTGAAAGGTTTCCAATATCAACAACTTGAGTACCTTCCTCTGTTAAGGCAAAAAGTTTAAGCAAGAAGGAATGTCCTTATTTTTATGACAAAAATCCATACTGGTTATACCCTTCAAAAAGTCTCAATGAAGCCATGTCTAACATTTGCAACTATATGCATATAAATATTTAAGTTCATTGTAGCACAGCGTATCAAACAATAAAACATCAAAGCGTGCAAAGGCTCTTCCTGCCCTCCCCAAAATTGGAGACACAGAATTTTTTCACTTCCAAATGTGAAATGTGATTCACACCCAGAACGTGTCACAATTTGCATGGATAGGCTACTAAAACTGGAGCTTCTTTTGTAGACAGCTACGTAACATCTCAGGCATGTTGGTAAGAAAGGAATCATGACTGAGGCTGGTGGTGGCAGCAGCCGGTTGGTTAGAGAAAATTAATCCTATTTTACTAATGGCAATTCCTATTCACAATGCCTAATTTTCTCCATTATCGTATAAATAGTCCACAGTGTCTATTACGTGACACATACCTCTGTCACATAATAGCCCTACATGGATGCTTTGGGTGCACAGTACAACCATGACTACACCATCATCAAACAACCATATACACCCAAGTCTTTGAAAACTTTGGGGCTGGAGCAGGCTGGAAGGAGAAATAAAGAGAAGAACGAAAGAAAAGCTATAAATGAGCATATACTACGTGTATGTTTTTGGAATCCTCCCACTGATCCTGGCAAGCTTGGAGCCTTAGATCAACTTCGACGTTCAGTTCAGAGATATTCCCCACCAAGCCCCTCCCTGTCCTGGTTCAACCTACACACCAAACACAGGTTCCAGATTTCTAGAATAGCTTTAGGAATAAAAGAGCTGAAAGACGACTTGGAAACAGCCACTCTCTGTGGGTTTGGTATCAGAATACAAGAGCTTCTAGCAAAAAGATCTGTGAAGAAGAAAAGCCTATCTGTACATTCAACTCTCTAATAAGACTTGCCCCATTTGCCCCCCCATGGAGCAAAGTATATTTTTTCCCTGTCATTATCATATGTAAGGAAAAATACCAAATGCTCTTGAAAAGGTTCACATTGGACAAAGGAAGGTGTAAAAGAGGAGAGCTGTGACACGTGACATAGAGAATGAAGTTCATGTGCTGAACCTCAAAGGCTTCATCAATCCTCCAATCAACAAATATTACTAGAGCGGGATGGCCGTCAGGGGAGAGCCATTCTGATAGAGTTTATGCCTGGTCTGGATTGCTACCTCTGATTAACTGAATATTAAATGAGCTGTCCAGTGATCTTGTGTTCTCTACTGGGGTGCTAATAGATCTTGCAAGAGGTTCTTACTGCCATTTCTTAATCCTAAAAGTTAGCAGACCTGGCTCTATCCTAACAGCTGTCATTGGACCCTTTACAGTCTGGTGCTTTCAGCTCCTTCCTGGTTATGTATATTTTTTTAACCACATTTTCTTTCCATTCCAGCAGGTTTGTTTGTCTTGAACAGACATTCTTTTCCACACCTTTCTTCAGCTCCAAAGGAAATGCTGCCACAGGAATGAGGCCAGTGGATGGATGCTGCCTCTTGTACTGACATTGTGCAAAGAAAAACACTACTTACAATTTTAAGCCATCTTTACTCAATAATAAACAGTGGTTTTGATAGTTCAACCACAGCTGTTGACATTTACAACCAATTGTCATGCATTTCCTAGGCATAACTTACAAGTTCAAGCTTTTTCATCTTTTACTGAGGTTTAATGCTTTATGTGATGAACAATATTTTTTAACTGACTGCACCACTTGCTGGCTTCACAGAATCACCCAACATCACTCACATATAATGTCTGCGGATCTAACTCAAGCCGGAACCAAGTTAGTGCTGAACTTGCCATCTAATTCTATAAACTATCCCAAACTTCTATTTTGTGGAGAGCAACTATCACTTTCATATCCATGGCTAGCATGAGTATTTAAAACTTCTGGATTTTCAGAGTCAATATTTCACAAAGAAATAGCGAGAGTTTATCACTTAAGTAGACGTAGATGCTGGGTGATTCACTGGGCTTCTTCCTAGCTGGGTGATTTATTTCCATACACCAGCCTCATAGTATTTACATAAGAAAAAATTCAAGGTAGCATATGCAATAGGATTTTTAACTAAACACATGACCAAATAATTTAGAAATGTCTCCAGGTCTCTTTGTATATGTATTTCAATCAATAAAGGAAGCGCTGTGTCAACCCTCTGCTTTTCCTTTTAATTCTGGGTCTTTACTCAAAAACCTTCTTCTTGGGGATGGGTTTTCTGACAATCCTCTTCCTTCCCCTGTACTTTTCCCCTTCCCAACTGCTCACTCCCAAACTAGTCTTAAACAGAGCTGATAACATTCTCCTCTGAACATTATACTATGAATGTATCTCTTAGAGCATTATCCACATTTTATTAAATATTATTTATATGATGTCATATTGTATATTATATATGTGAGGCATCACACACACCCCTCTCCTACAAGACAGTGAGCCCCATAAAGACAGAAAGCATATTTTATTTATCCTTGTAATCTAGTGCCTGAGAGTGTATATAAATGTTGCTGAATAAATAAATGTTGAATTTTCTCAAGCCTAGTAGTAAAGATCCCGTTTGTTTTTCATGGATTATTTCTCTGGAGATAAAAGTGGTTTAAACTTACTAACCAAATACTGTGCTATGAATTATGTAGGAACAAGTTACTGTTATTCTAATACTTCAGAAAGGAAAAGTGAAGGAAAGAAAATGTGTTATGTACTCGGTGTTCCACATTTAGCCACTGAGAAATAAGGTGTAGAAACTGGATTTCATGCCTGACAACGTGGTACTCTACCCATTAGCTTATGTCACTCACTTGAACAGCTCCTATTCTCTATTTGTAATAAAGTTTCTTTAGCACGATATGCTTTGGACTAAGAAGGAATATCAGTTCCATGAAGTCAAAAAAGGGCCTGATTTCTCCCTTTCCTTTTATGTAATGATAATCAGCATTATTATCCTCTCAGCTTTCCAGGTTTGACAGGGAACGGTAATGCTTTAGTGACTGTGAGAAACCATGAGGGATGCCCCAGCTTTTAGGGAGTGTGTAAGCAAATGGCTGTTTCCTCTGTACTCCATTTCCCACTCTGTGAAAAAGAAGAGCGTAATATTTAACATCACCGAGCTACTGTGAGGGTTAATTAGATTTAATGGGGGAAGGGAGGCAAGCTGGTTAGGCACCATTCAAATTCAAAGACTCATTATTTTGTGTCTAAAAATAATCCTGATTTAGGAGTAAAATTAATTTGGAAGCTCAATCTTTCGTAATCATCTTCCCATACCTAAAATTTTAAAAAAATGCCATAGTTTTTAATCAAAATCCCATTCTAAGCGCAATTCAATGAAGTAAAAGAATGGAGACCTGTGAATGTCCATTCACCCTTGAAGTAAGACAGTACACAGATCAGTTCTTTCTTTTTCTTTTCCCTACTTCTCTCCCTCCCTTCCTTTGCTCCTTCCTTCCTTTTTATGAAGATACGCTATGTGTGGAAAGGTTAATTTTGGAGAATGGAGTAACGTAAACAAATATAGATTTTAAATCTACATTGACTTTTGTTCGTTTGTTTCATACGAAACATTTGTGAAACACTTTAAATTCCCTCTTTAAGCAATCAGTAATCAATGTTCTGTGGTTGAAATAACTCTTCAGGTCATATCTGCTAAGTTCCATCTCTATTTTTGTTCAAGAACTAGTCAGTCCACCAAGAGGGGTGGGATACGGAGGGTGGGAGGGAGACGCAAGAGGGAGGAGATATATGTATATGTATAGCTGATTCACTTTGTTATAAAGCAGAAACTAACACACCACTGTAAAGCAATTATACTCCAATAATGATGTTTTAAAAAAAAGAACTAGTCAGTGAAAGGAGATCTTTGTATTCCCCAAATTAAAGAACAAATCCCTCGATATTTAAGGCTAAGGTCATAAAAAGGGCATCTAAACAGTAATCATCATAATTAATTTAATAGATTAATTTACTATGAAAATCTTCATGAGAAGTAGAAGCTGGTACCTGAGAAAAATCCGAGTTGTTGTCTAAATCTTACTAAAAAAGTGAGTGTCTTCTAAAAATGGAAAACATTCTTTAAAAATGTAACAGTTGATAATCCTTGGAAATATGCCATATCTGTTAGGAAAAAAATGTTGCACTCAGTTTTTGGTGAGTGAAGACGATTTGGCTGGAAAGGAACTCTATTCGTGTTTGTTTAGAATTTTCCAAAGGAAAGGGAAATAATGTAGTTCAGTCAGTAGAAATGTATTCTCTACAGAGAAAGCAGGAATAATTCTCTTTTAACACAGTCCTATTAAAAATTCCCATAAGACTTATAAATTCTCATCACATAGACTCTATACTCACCAAGCAAACTTCTGATTATTCATTCGATTTCCCCGGACCCTTGATACTGGGGACGGATGTACCCTGTAAGAGATGAGAGTAATCCAGTCATTGAAAAAGCATTTTCCTGATTATAAATGAACAAACAAAAAGTGATCTGGCTTATAAATGATCTCTTTTAGATTTGCTGAATATAAAATGACCCAGAACTTGAGCACCTCTTAGTAAATGGATGCAGTTAAGTTCCTATGCCTACAGACCAGCAGTCAGTCTCTCTCTTTCCTTCTGCACCACTTTTAACATACAAAGTGTTTGTCACAATGTTCACTGTGAAGACCCCCCCAAAGGTAGGACCAGTTTTAGTAAGTTGATTCATTCATTCAGTCCAACAAAAAGTTACTGCTGCCTACCTAATCCTTGCCAGGTTTAGGAGTGCATAAAGGTAATGTAGGGTCTGGTGCTGGCCCTCAGTGAGCCCTTTCTGCTACCTGTTTCCATAAGAAGGACACGAAGAGACAGTCTAAGTATACACTCCCTCAGTCAACTTCCAGATTTAAAGCCCTGAAAAGCAAGATAATGAAGGGGATCAGTATACGCCACCCCAAAATACGCTACTGAGGCATAAGGATTAGTTTCATTTGAAGGCAACCACAAACACAAACAGGAGGAGGAACTCTCTACCTTCCCTTAATATGCCTAAAAGCAGGGCATACATTTCCCTTTTGTAAAGGAAATTTTCATTTTTAAAGGCGTTCCCTGCCCCCCCCCCACCCCACCGCCCCATACCAGGAAGCAGAGTACAATGTACAACTCTTATCACCAGAAATGGTATTGAGATGAGCCGGCATAAACAACCCTTATTTACCATTAGTTTCCCCCATACATTTCCTAGTCACCTTCCTAAAATTTAGCCCCCCCTAAACGTCCAGACCCCCTTTTCTTTTGACAAGGCACTTCTCTACAATTTCTTACCCTTTGTTAAAATGGTATATAAGCTTCAAATTTTAACTACCCCTTTGAGTTACTCACCACTGAGTATTCCTGCATGCATGTATGCATGCATGTTTTATGTGTAAATAAACTTTGGATTGTTTTTCCTCTTGCTAATCTATCTTTTGTCAGTTTAATTTGCAGGCCCCCAGACCCTAAACAAGGAGAGGGTGGAGGAAAAAAAATTTTTTTCCTCCCCTACAATAACTTCATCCAAATGTCCAGGCACAGAATCTGTGGGAATGGAGGAGAAAGGAAAGGTGAATAGTTATTTCTAGGAGGAAGGTCTTCTAGATGTGATACTCTCCAGCCGGGCTTTAAAGAAAACAGTCATTTCAAACCTTTAGCTAAATTATGGGGAAAAGATAGTAAAGACTATATTGTTTTACAAGCTTCCGGGGTTGGAGTCATCCACTGGAAATAGTTGAAATTTCTAGGAACTGCTAATATCTTCCAATCAGGAGCTATAGCTGCTGAAACTCCATGAACCTCCACCTCTCTGTGGGTCACTTACTGGCAGCACAATTTGCTCTGCTTCCTGTCCTTGTGGACACCTTCCCGCTTCCTAGTAAAGTGCCCATCTTTCTTTACTAGGTACCTGTGAGATCTAGGCAGTCGTTAAGCTTGTGTTATCTTTACTCTTTATGTCTCAGACATTATTCTATTTACAAGACAAGAAACAAAATGGGGATTTTAAATTGGTCTTAAAGTCCACTTAGAACCAAGAGCCCCAAGGTTGATTAGAATCCCAGTTCTCCATAGTTGTTCAGCGAGTGAGAATCATTTCAAGACGGACAGTACAGGGCTTCCCTGGTGGCGCAGTGGTTGAGAGTCCGCCTGCCGATGCAGGGGACACGGGTTCGTGCCCCGGTCCGGGAAGATCCCACCTGCCGCGGAGCGGCTGGGCCCGTGAGCCATGGCCGCTGAGGCCGTGCGTCCGGAGCCTGTGCTCCGCAACGGGAGAGGCCACAACAGTGAGAGGCCCGCGTATTGCAAAAAAAACCCCCCAAAACAAAAAAAAAACCGGACAGTACAGTTCTAGCCCCTCAGAAGGGCCAAATGCAGTCTTTCCGTAAACCCAGAGCCAGGCTGCACTTTGCACTCAGAAGGCTTTTATTTCTTCCAACATCCCTTATTAACATTCTTTTCCTCACAGCACTTCTCAATGGATTCTGCAGCTGAGCCGCTCAGCACAGATTTTCTGCTGTGTATGGGGGAGGGGTTGTTGATGATGCAGAAAGATGGAGAGAGGCCAGACAGCCCCTCTGGTGAACTGTCTCTTTCAAGCACGGCCCACTTCCTGCTGTTTTGCAGCTACAAGGATCACCTGTTGGTCTTGGCATCCGGCCACAGGGGGGCCTATCGGAAATGACAGACTCAGCTAGAAATGAAAGCCAGCTCATATTCCAGTGCCCCAATTTGGGGAGAGAGAGAACAAACACCCAATAAAAATGCGTAAGAATTATACACAAGGTAGCAAGTCTCATTCTTTTTGCTTTCTTTTTTCTTTCAGTCTGTCTGTTTGAAACACAGTCATCAAAATGGAATTGTGAGCCCCAAACTGTCTCTCCAGTTAAAGTTCCCTGACCTAAGGGAAAATGCAGGAAATCCTCGTGAACCTTGCCTGCATACCCCCTGGGGTGTCAGAATCCTACTGCCTAAATAAAATGTGCAGGAGTAATAGCCCACATACTCACAGTTCTTTAATTCACTCTGCATCCTTTAAATGTTTACAGCATGTTGCTTCCACCTTAACCCTATTTCTAGTCATCATGATAATTCCACCAGGTGAAGTTTGATGATATAGAAGTACCGATGCTTCTCACTGCATACATACATCAGTGGGAAAAAATGGGTCTGTTTAACGTATAATTACAATATTCTCTAAGTAATTGTATCTTTTAGCAAAACTTCATTGATCCATAGATCAAATATTGTAAGTTGATAATTTCTTAACTGTTTACCAGTCTTCAAAGAATTCCTGATTGTGTATGTAAGACCAAATAATTATAAGGTTTCTTGAAATGGTAAAACAAGAAAGGTTTTTTCCCTTCCCAAAGCGAGTAAATTGATAACCTGGAGCTTACTTTAATCTGATAAAGTAGACCGTAAAGGTTTGCATTTCAGCTACTCCCCAATTTCATTTCTGCAAAAGAATATGCAGTGTTTCTGTTAGCTCTGTCTTTAAATTGTGGCACTTTTTGCCTTCGTCTACCTTCTTTCCACATATAGCAGCTAGGCAGGTAGCAAAGTCAAAACCCCAGTAGGAGAAACCACCATCTAATCTGCATGTCATGCATTATTCATGACCTCCTGATTCCTGCACCTGCATCTAGGCAGGAAGCTTGCAGGGAATGTTCATTATTCTTCTCTTAGCCTCACACAGGCTTGATTACTGCTAAGGCACTTTGTTCTGTAAGTAAGGGTTTCAGGCCTTAGTACTAACCGCTGGATATGGAAAGAAAAAAAAAAAATCACCAGGCTGAAGAAAAGGGCAATCTTGGTTGTTGTATAACATGTATTCAATCCTACAAAGTGCTCTTCGGAGACTGACAGTTTAGGTCAGATGGAAATGCTTGCATTTGGTAATTTACATTACACAGAAAAAAGGAAGCTATAACATTAAGGTCATGTACACCAACTGTTCTATTTATATACACTTACTCATCTGAGGCAGACAGCATGTTTATAATTTTACCCAACACAAGGCTTAATTTAGCTTTTTTGCTTAGCACGTGAGAACTTTTTAGATACCTTCATACAAAAATGATTCTTCCTTCTTTCGGTATAAGCACTAAAGGACCCGACCCTCAAATCTTGTATTTTAATGACTAACATTTATGGTTAATCAAGAGAATATGACCGGTCTCTTCTTTTTCAATGTTTTCCTGAACCTACCCGAATGGCTGGTGGCCGGCGGTGGGATGTGAAATCTCCATCCCCAACGCAAATTATTGATCACGGATGAACTGCTGGGAAGGGCACCCATCCTACCTTTTTACTATCCCCACCGCAGAAAAGCTGTGACAATTTAAATCCAATCTTATAGCCCCCAGTGGAATCAGGATGAAGTGGTAAAGAGTACAAACTGTGTAGCTGCCTGGGATTGAATTCCGGCTCCACCATTTACCAACAGTGTCATCTCAGGGCAAGTTACTTAACCTGTCTGCCCTTCTGTTTTCTCATTTCTGCACAAATGGAGGCAACGATAGTGGCCACCTCCTAGGTCTGTGAGATTTCAATGAGTTCATAGTTTTAAAGTGTTTGGAACAGTGCTCGGCACACAGGAAGCAGTTAATACATGTTAGCTATTATTAGCAGTGCCGACTGGATCGGAAAGCATGGGAAGATGGAACTGGAATATCCAGTTAATTCCAGGGGGTTGAGATAAATGTGCTCTACAGAGCCTGCAGTCTCGCCTACTGTGCTTATATGACTTCACTGAAGGCGAGGAAATAGCAAAGAGAAATAAACACCCATAGAGTAACATGAACCAAATATTCTGGTTTCTAAGGTATGACTTCCTCTCTGGCACCTCATTTTGTCTTCTTTATTAGGAGACCTATCTTCCGTTTACTAAATTGGATAGTATTTCAGCTGTATCCCATGCAAGTCAGTAACCATAGGAGTAAAGTCATCCCCATTACTAAGCCTTTACTAGGTGCCAGACACCATGCTTAGCTCTTTAGCTACATTACCATATTTTCTCCTCATATCATTAGTATCCACATTTTACCTTTGAGAAAAATAGGTTTAGAAGAGTTAGATAAGTTGCCAGAGTTGCACGGAGAAAAGCAAACTCAGAACTCGGACACAGGTATGTCTGACCTGTCTTCCTGCAGATTATCAACCAATACTTATAAACTCATGTATATTCCCTCCCCACTACCCCAGAGGATGCAATAAAGTGAATTAGCACCAGGGGCCTTAACAAGACTTAGCATTTATTTGAGCCCAACCGAACATTCTATAGTATAAATAGATGCAAAGTGAATGTACTGGTTTTCCTGGCCTAAAATTGGCACCGGGCTAAATATTAAGCCTTCGGGGACTCACCAGAAATAGAGTCACAGTCATATACTTTGTTCTCCGTT